ACACGACACACACACACACACACACACACACACACACACATACGTACATACACGCACGCCCGCATACGCACGCACGCCGAAAGATAGAAAGATGGAAAGAGAAGACACGAGAGAGAGAGAGAGAGAGAGAAAGAGAGAGAGAGAGAGAATAAAAAACAAGAGGGGAAAGAGAGCGCGCGGAAGAGACAGAGAGAACAAAACATGTTTAAGAACAACTGCAAATACTATTTGGGCACGAATTATTATACTTACTAAATATTATCTCTACTTTGTAACCATATTGCATCATGATCATGTTTCTCAAATATATTACTAAAACAGAATTAACGAGATTAGACATTAAATAGAATGTAAAAACCTCAAAGTTATTATGTGCTTTGGTACTAATAATATGGTGTGTCTTCAATAGGGGCGTGGCCACGATTGACGTTAATCTGAATCACGTGGATATAAACCAGTGCCCTGCCCCGCACGCCTTGAAGCACAGAGACGATCCATTTATAGGAACTCACCGCTGTCATAGTCTTTCAACGAAGGTACTTAGTCACGTGCTGCTTTCTGATCTTACATGATCGAGAACCTACATAAGTGTATACCAACACGTAGAAACTTAATTTGCTATAAGTCGATACCAAATCGAAAATGTTGAAATCTATTAGTGCCAATCGCAAACTTGCTCAGTTATGTCGAAACAAGATCAGTGGTATACTCCTAAAAATAAATGCTCAACATGGGTATGATTATTCTTTTCTTTTTCGAATTGTCGCAGTGCGAGCCTGTCGCTGGGCGTGGATTCCGTAGCGGTGGATACCGGTGTAGCTGCCGCAAAGGATTTTATTCCAATTTGGTTGAGATTGACCCAGAGACTAACGTCGAAACGCCGTTTAAAGCTTTCGATGGCTACCAGATAGAGAAGGAATTCGCCAAGAGCAAACGCAAGTATGTAACATGAGGAATATAGGTGATCGATCGAACAGCTATGCGCGCGGATTGATTCCGGATGCGTAGAACACGATTGGTTCGAAAGCATTTCGTCTTCTTCATATGACGTGTATTTCACTACTATATAATAATAGTATTAATAACAATAATGGTATTATAATTATTATTATTAGTAGTAGTAGTATTATAATTACTATAATAACCATACGGGGGCGCACGTTTCATTACTGCAACTTGTGATTGGTTTAATTTGTTCGTGCACAGATTGGATAACACCTATGACTCGTTGACATGCCTCAAATGCCAGCCACATTGCGATGAATGCGTGGATGACACGCCGTGCCTTTCCTGGATCAGTAGGAAGCTGATGCTCGCTTTCTGCATTATCGTCGGCATCTGCTGGCTTCTCGCTCTCATCTTCCTCATCATGATCTGGATGAAGCGAAATAATGTGGTACGTGAGTGGACTCAGGGGCGGATCCAGGATTTTTGAAAAGGGGGTGTCCAGGAAGAAATAAAGGGCACTTTTTCCTGTTTAAATTTTCTGGTGTTTTAACAAAGCTGTCGAAGACCTCCCCCAAGAATTTTTTTTTACAATTTCTAGGTTTTTATAACAAATTTATATATATAAGTAAATATTTATCAGAAAAACTAGCCCTAAAAAATTGGAATAATTATTTTAGGGCCCTTTGAAATTAAAGGGGGGGCGTCAGGTGGTTGAAGTTTTGATATTTGCATGTCATTCACGCGGCTGTGGTAATTTTCGGTTATGAGCAACGGCTGGTTTATCACGCAATATAACTGTTACTGGTGCAGGGTATATAATTCATCATATAAACAATTTCCCTGCGTCGGTTGACATTAACCGATAATTTCATCTTAATGAATACAATCAAGAGCGTATTAAGAAGCCTTCTTTATACGCTCTTGATACAATGTGTAATGTCATTGAATATATTGTTTGAAAAGTGGTGTCGATCGTTACAGGTCATAAAGATTTCTAATGTCATCATTTTGAGCCTGATTATCATTGGAGCATGCATGATGCTGGCAGAGGTAACAATATACACATACATGACTTAAATGTATATAAGAACTCGTACTGCAGATAATACAAGAGATAAAACGCACAATTTACACGTTGTGCAGATATCTGATTTATAAGCATGCTTTTACTAACAAAAAAGGCATGGAGTACAGCTAGCGTAAAAATGTTGCCACGAAACTATATATATATATGCATATATATATAGCGCACGTTGTTGTCACCGTTATAGGTTATTCTTGCTAGCTATGAGCCAACAAAAAAACTATGTCATGCTTCCATCTGGATGTACACGGAAGGATTTGTGCTCGCCTACACCGCGCTCATCGTGAAGGCATACAGGTAACGTTATTCATAAGCAGATGACACTTTACTAGTGAGTTTGAAAAAGATTTTTATTTATATTTATATTTATATTTTTTTATTTGCTTATATTTATTTTAGAGGTAAAATTGTAGTGGCAGCCCTCGGCCACCATAAACGTCCCCACAAGTCTACATAAATGACATTTTCACACATAGCCGCTTAATGTTTTAACACCCAACCTATTCGCTTACCACAGAGAGGTGACGGTGTGCAGGAGCGGCTATATTGGGAAAGCAAGGGCGAACGATAAGTGGCATTATCTTGTCATTGCTATCGCGGTGATCGTCTTCACCATCTTCATGGCTATCTGCACCGCTAGAGCTCCGATTCTTCCTCAAGTGTTCGTACAGAGTGCCGACCACAAGTACCTCATGTGTGACCACAGCTGGTGGGCCTGGACGGTCACCATCGGTATGACGACTTACTATACGTTATCGATAGTATTTTATTGTATATATTCTTAAAGATGATTTTAGTTGTAGTGATGTCATTTTATGAACCAATGTTTTAAGTGATATTTATGTCTTACCATGGGACATATATTATTGTAAATATCATCAATTTCAGTTTTATACTGCCTGATGATATCGTGTTTGCATAACATATTTTAATTGTAACGTTGTAATTACTATTTTTGCAATAAACCTATTATCTATCGATGCGGTTGCGGCGATATGCGGTTGCGTTATATTGTACTATACAGAATGAACCGCATTCGTCCGTAATACAATAGATCGGCACTTTCGATCGTATCGACTATTTGAACCCGACTCGCGATAGTTTTAGGCTGCTCTGGCTAAAGCGGTCCAGTAAGCATGGGCTAGGTTTATGCTTATTTAAGTTGTACCGTGTCAGCAATACAAGCAGCATATGAACATTGTCAAGAGCGTATAAAGAAAGTAATCAAGAGCGTAATTCCTTCTTAATACGCTCTTGACATTATTTTGTCTTTTTAATCTCAACTCCGATGATTGGGAATTTTCACTAAGGTGAAATTGGTTTCTTTCCAAGTGTTCCCGATTAGTAGAATCGAACATATAGTGTGATATTAACCATGGCGCTTGCACGTAAACATATGCAATGCGTGGAAGTTTTGTCAATAGAATTTAATCTTGTGTCTCCGCAGTTGAATATCTACTGGTGTTCTTCGCCGGCGTCGCCATATCGCTCCATACGGTCGCGAAACGTGTCACTTACTTGGAGCCGAGATTTATTTCCAGACTTCTCATTATCTTCCCTATCATCCTGCTCTGTATCTTTATAATTGGGTAAGTATTGTAACACGCAGACTATTTACTTCAAGCTCGAAGAAGCAAGCTTAAATAAATAATTACGAGAGGATGGCGTTATGTTGTATAGGTTCGATTATATATGCGTGTGCGTGCGCGCGCGTGTGTGTGTGTAGCCATGGGTGCCGGCGTTCGCGCACGCGCGCGTACTAGAATGTATGGGGTTTCATGATAAACCATTTTGTCGTTTCGCAGCGCTCTAAACAGGGGGCAGTGGTACGTCCATGCCAACTACGTGATCATATTCGCGAAGGTGATGGTGGCTGCCACGCTGATGCTGATATGCGTATTTGGATACAAGGTATAGTCGATGGCGACCAATTCACAATTAAGTTCCTGCCTTAAACGCACGAATCTCTAGCGACGACCGTCCTAGCGCGACGCATATAAAATACTAACTACATTGGTACATACATTCCTACCTACATGTTGGCACATACGTTATATACATATTTTCACATACATTGGTAGCGGTTACGCAGATAAATTCTCAATTGTTTGTTTCCGTTGCAGTTCTATCTACTGCAGCACGCGCCAGAAGAATCCAACGAGTGGAAACACGGTGATGAGCAACCTGTTACAGTAACTTCGGGGCGCCCAGTACATGGCGAGACCAACAGGACGATGGTAATTTGAAGTGCCCGCAGTTCTTTAAGGGTCGGACACACTAGGCGATTAAATCGGGCGACAAAATCGCCGTGAAATCGCCTAGTGTGTCCACTCAATCGCCGCCGATTTAGTCGCCCGATCTCATCGCATAGATCAAAACGTTTTGATATTATCGGGCGATTTTGTCGCCCGATTTTGTCGCCCGATTTAATCGCCTAGTGTGTCCGGGGCCGGCGATAAAATCGCCCGATTGTACAATTCATCAGCCAATCAGTTGTTCAATGATACTGACGTAATAGCGATGTTTCATGTTTAGTATGTCATGTCATGTAATAGCGATGCACGCACGCACGCACGCATGTGTACGTGCACACGCACGCACGCACACACTCATGCACGCACGTGTACGTGCACACGCACGCACGCACGTCTACGTGCACATGCATGCACGCACGCACGCACGTGTACCTGCACACACACGCACGCACGCACGCACGCACGCACACATGCACACACGTGTACCCGCACACGCACACACGCACGCACGCACGCACGAACGTGTACCTGCACACGCACGCACGCATGTACGCAGGTGAACGTGCACACGCACGCAGGCACGTACGCACGCACGCATGCACGCAGGTGAACGTGCACACGCACGCAGGCACGTACGCACGCACGCATGCACGCAGGTGAACGTGCACACGCACGCGGGCACGTACGCACGCACGCATGCACGCAGGTGAACG